GGCCGTGGACACTCCCTCGAGGAGAGGGGGCGGGGCCGTGGAAAATCCCCCGAGGGGAGAGGGGCGGGGCCGTGGACACTCACCTGAGGAGAGGGGGGCGGGGCCGTGGACACTCCCCCGAGGAGAGGGGGCGGGGCCATGGACACTCCCCCGAGGACAGGGGGGCGGGGCTGTGGACACTCCCCCGAGGGGAGAGGGGCGGGGCCGTGGACACTCACCTGAGGAGAGGAGGACTGGGCCGTGGACACTCCCCCGAGGAGGGGGGTGGGGCCGTGGACACTCCCCCCAGGAGAGGGGGGCGGGGTCGTGGACACTCCCCCGAGGAGGGGGGCGGGGCCATGGACACTCCCCCAGGAGAGGGGGCGGGGCCGTGGACACTCCCCTGAGGAGAGGGGGTCGGGGCCGTGGACACTCCCCTGAGGAGGGAAGGGGCGGGTCCGTGGACACTCACCTGAGGAGAGGAGGGCGGAGCCGGGGTCTCCGGGCAGCGGGACAGGCTGAGGCAGGTCCGAGCTCTGAGCTGGGCCTGGGCGCACGTGGGTCGGGCTGGGCCCGGGGCGGCAGGGGGCATCCAGCACCCCTGAACCGCCCTCCCAGAGCCGCCCATGTCGGGGGCGGGGTGTGGCCTCTCCTGGGCTCCCCCACGAGCTGCTCTGCCCCAGCGCCTCGGGGCCCTTTTATGGAGAGCCGCACTTCCTGGTCGGGAGTGGACCAATCAGGCGCCGGGGCGGACAGGCCGGGCCCAATCAGACGCAGGGTTGTGACATAGTCCCACAGGGCTGGGGGCGGGGCACCCGAGAGGCTCCGCTCCGGCGGCTGAGGGGAGGAGCCCGAGAGGGGGCGGGGCGGGGCCTGAGGCGGGAGCGGCGCCCTGAGGAGAGCAGGGCGGGCTCTGAGGGGAGGGGACGCGCGCCCGGGGCCGGGTCGGGGACCCGGAGGCTGAGGGGAGGAGGCGCCGCGGGCGCCGCGGGGCTGGCGGAGAAGCCGACTCCATCCAGGCGCGGGCTCGGGTCCGTCCTGCGTCCCCGCGGGCCGAGGCGGCCCGAGGCCAGGCCCGCGCCTCAGAGCGGGGCGCTGTCCGGACCCCGGAGCGGGGGACACTCCGGCTCTGCTGCCGCCCCCGGGCCGGGAGGAACCCCGCACGCGCCCCTGACCCGTGCGACGGCCGCGCGGTGCCCAGGGGTGACCACGACCGCTGGCCAGGGCTGCCCGCGCGCCCGGTGTGGCTCCCGCTTCTGGGGCACCCTCGGGCGAGACTCCGGCGCCTGCACGGCAGCCGCTGGCCGCGGGGCGGGTGGACGCGGGCGGGGAGGCGCCGAAGCCCGAGCGGCCTGTGGACAGGCCGGGCTGACCCCACGGGCACCCATGGGTGCAGTGCGTGTGGTCCCTCGTGTCTCTGAACCGCTGGTGTTTGAAGTGGCCTCTCCCCCTTCTGGCTGGGGTGGGGAGAGGCTTTCAGGGGGCCCAGAGATGCGGCTGAGGTGGGGTTTGGGAGCAGCGCCCTCGAGCACTGACAGCTCCGGAGCTGGGTCCTCCCCCACCCTGGTAGGGCTCTGAGCACACGGGGGAGAACCTGCCCCCGGGAGGGGGTCCCCCACTTCCCTGGTTCAGGCCCCAAGCCACAGACCAGCGTGTGGACAGGTCAAGACGGAGCCCAGCCTGGGGACTGACCTGAACTGTAAGATGAAAACTCAATTCAGTCAAATACGACAGTTCAGGTTTTGTGACATCCATCAGTGCTGAGAATAACATGGTATTTAAATAAAAATAATTGGGAGTAACATGAACAAATTCATATATTTCTTGGTTTTCCTCCTCTCCCTCCCCCTCCTGCCTCCACATTTCCCCAACCCCCACACACCCATTCCCCAGGTCCCCATGAGGGGCGCACAGTGGGTGACGGTGACCTTCCTGCTCCCGTTGGACGTGGCTCTTCCGTGGCTTTGATGACGGGGCCACACCGGGTCCCCGTGGCAGGGTCAGTGGAGGGTGATGGAGCCTGGAGGACAATTACATTCCTTTCTATAGATGTGCAAACCACTAATGAAATTGCCTCTGACACACTCAGGGCACTAATGGTCACTGAATGTGCTACAGGATGACGCCAATTAAGACAAAACAGGGCACTTGTCCCTCTGGAGGAAGGTCCCTGAGGGCTGGAATCTGGACAGTGCCCAACCCGCGGACGCCAGCTCCAGAGCTCAAATAGCCCAGCCCTGAGGCCCTGCTCTGTCCAGGAGGCGGCGCAGGACGGGGTGCGACATCCTGTGATGCTCAGAGGCTCCCCACGAGCCCCGACCATGGAGTGAGAGGCCGGGACGCCCTCTGTCCCGCCATGGGGACAACCTCAGGACAGAGACTCGACACGGCAGCGGGAACTGTCCCCCCAGACTGCAGGTATCTGCCCCCAGCCGCTTGCAGGGGAGAATCCTCTCAGACCTGAATGACTTTAGAGCTCATGCCTTATTTCAGACCTGAGGAAGTATCATAAACTATTCATTTTATAAATGGCGAAAACTGATGCTAACGTTACGCCATGTGCTCAACTTCTCAGTGCCGCGTGGTGCTGAGATGACTTGCAATGTGAGAAACTGTTTTCCTCTTAGAAGATTTTCCTTGAACACATTTGTGATATTAGAGGCATTTCACATACAGTGTCGCCTCGCCTGGGTGGCAGCCTTGGGGGCGGCGCGGGGCAGCGTAAAAATGACTCCAAGTGCCAGCAGAGAGACTCCTGGAGGGCCACCCCGTCCTGCTGCCGCCTCATGGGCAGCGCAGGGCCGCAGGGCTGGGCTATGTGAGCTCTGGCGCGGGCGTCCGGATGCGTCTGCCCGTGACCGCTCCCCGCGGCAGGTCTCACTTGTATTTGGGGTCACACTCAGGCAAGGCAGGCGAGTCCGTGAGGGAGGCGTGGGGTGCATGGTGGGTGGGGATGGGGATGCTCAATGTCTGGCAGGAGTTGGGGGAGGGAACGGGAGCTGCTGCGGGGGCTCCGGGTCACTCCCTCAGGACGGCCCGAGTCTAGCCCTGTCAGCGCTTCCTTCCTGTCACGGTGGTCGCCGGTGAAGCTGCTCTGGCGCCAGGTCTGCCCGGGCTCCCAGCAGGCGGGCTCACACCAAGACTGTCCTGACCGGAGGCTCCTGCCTGACCCACATTAGCTGAATAATCACCAGAACCTTCCGGGCGCCAGGCAAGAGCCCACGAACCAGGGGGTGGGCGCGACACCGTGTCTGTGACCATCGCGGCTCACGCCTGTGCCGTGGGCGCGGAGCACAGGGAGGAGCCAGAAAGGAAAGAGCCACGACAGTCAGGGACGCGCAGCCACGGGGGGACTCGCGGGAGAGTCCAGGGACGCTGCTGGCGGGGACGGGGCCACGAAGAGCCCAGCCTGGCTCCGGGCCGCAGGGGTCCCGCGCTCCAAGGAGCCGGTTCCCTCCAGACCCAAATGTCCTCTCCTGGACTGGAGGGCTCGGGGGGGGGGGGATGATGGGGGGCAGGGAGTGGAGAACCGGAGCAGACCCGGGGCCCCTCTCACGGGGAGCCGCCCCCGCATGGGGCAGGGGCTGCTCTGAGGACGGGGTGCGGGGCCTGTCCGTGGCCAGCAGGCCGCGGCGTCAGGGGAGCGACAGTCAAGGGGCTCGAGGCAGCGTCTGGGGAGACGGATCTTTCTCTCAACACGTGGCGCGGCCGCGACTGTGTCCGTCACTGGACACGCGCTTCGGGGGGATCGGACCCATCACCCTCCGCGCAGGACACCGTCTCACGCTGTGACGGGAAGGGGTCCCCGCAGCTGATCAGGGCCCGGGCAGAGACGCGGCTTGTGTAGCTGTCATGAGACATTTGAGTTTCACGTCACTCGGAAGAATCCCAGGCCCTGGACCGCAGCCTGTGCTCAGTGATTCCCTTTTCCATTAAAACCTCTGGGTCATTTACACGAACCTGTCACAGTTATTTCATATCAGCACATTCTCCTCAAAGTCCTGCCTCCCCAGGGCCTGCCCCTCCGCCACCCCACAGAGGGGGAGAGGGTGACATTGGGGAGGAGGAGAGAGAGGGCAGGGCTGTCCCGTGTCCAGGCGTCCCCACTCACGCACGGGCCTGGGGGAGGAACAAACCCGCACCCGGGGGACCCGGGGCCCTGGGACCGGCAGGGACAGCCCCACGCACAGACCGTCCGGCTCAGCCCCGGAGCGGCCTCCTCCCTGCACAGACGTGCCTGAGTCTGAGGGGGACAGAGGGGCCGGGAGGGACCCGGGGTGGACGAGCCCCTCCTGCAGGAGGGACGTGTGGGGGTGACCCAGGAGGAGACTCTGCGGGAGACACTAGAGGTGGAGGAAGGTCCTTTAATGGGACATCACGACGTGACGAGCAGGTGGCCGGCGCCCCAGCCTGGGCGCACGGAGGCGGAACGTGGGGACAGTGAGCGGAGAAGCAGCGCAGGACGTGGGCCTGAGCAGCTCTGGCAGGAGCGTGTGGGGCCTGTGCTGGGAACGCGGCTGCTGAGAGCCCACTGAGCCTCGACACGCGTGGCATTAGCGGTTTCCACAGGGAGTGTCTCGAGGGCAGAGCGTGGGTGACAGGTTCTAGGTGGAGGGGGAGGATCAGTGAGTCTCCTGCTCAGAAGTGGCCGCGGCTCTGATGGGCCTGACCCGGGACCCCGAGGGGCTGGGGTGTGGGGGCAGCAGGATGGCTCAGTCCGCTGTGCTGGGCGGGTCAGTGACAGACAGGGGAGGACAGTTGGGGGGTTCTGAGGGGAGGGGAAGTGGCCATCCTCAGTGTCCCTCAGATGAATTGTTGGACAACGTGACGGTTTGCTTCAGAAGAGCAGAAAATGCAGTGGTTTGACAGGACGGCGCTGCTCGGAGGGTGACTGGGGATGAGACTCGGGAGGACCAGGCGTGTGGGCGCTGAGGAGCTACTGAGATTGACTTAAGGCCCCAGTTATGTTCACCTGGGGAGACGGGGCGGTGGTGATTTCTTCCTCTCAACACTCATACAGATGATGGCTCCAGGGGTGACGAATCTCACGGCCGTGACAGAATTCGTGCTCCTGGGGTTCCCCACCCAGGGGACCATGGGCTTCCTGCACCCGCTGCTCTTCTCCCTGGTCTACCTGTGCGCCCTGCTGGGGAACGGGCTCATCGTCCTCATCACCACCCTGGACCGGCACCTCCACACCCCCATGTACTTCTTCCTGAGGAATCTCTCCTTCTCGGACCTCTGCCTCATCTCAGCCACGGTCCCCAAGTCCATTGTCAACTCTCTGAGGCACAGCAGCTCCATCTCCTTCCCAGGCTGTGTCGTCCAGGTCTTCATGCTGGTTATTTCAGGTGCTGCAGAGTTTCACATCCTTGTGGCAATGAGCCTTGACCGATATGCTGCCATCTGCCACCCCCTGCACTATGACGTCCTCATGAGCAGGGACAGGTGTGTGCAGCTGACAGCTGTGTCCTGGCTGGGTGGGGGTCTCTATGCTGTGATGAACACAGCTGGAACCTTCTCCTTGTCCTACTGTGGGTCCAACGTGGTCCACCAGTTCTTCTGTGACATCCCCCAGTTATTGGCTATTTCCTGCTCAGGAAATTTAATGAATGAGCTTATACCCATTCTCATCGATATGGTATTAATAATCTGCTGTTTTATTTTCATCGTCATTTCCTATGTCCACATCTTCTCTGCTGTCAGGAAGATCCCATCCACAGAAGGGAAGGCCAAGGCCTACTCCACCTGCCTTCCCCACCTGCTGGTTGTGGTGCTGTATCTCTTCACTGGATTCTTTGCTTATCTGAAGCCGACCTCAGGGACCCCGTCCATGTCTGACCTGGTCATTTCTATGTTCTACACGGTGGTACCCCCCACCTTTAATCCCATCATCTACAGTCTGAGGAACCAAGCCATGAAGTCGGCTGTGGGGAGACTGATGAAGGGGAGACTCACCAAGGAGTAATAGGAAAGTCGAGGTCGAGACTGCATCAGGACACTCTTATTTTAAATTATCTCATAACACGGTTGACAGAACTGTGAGGCGAACAGGGAGGTTGGAGGAGGCCTCACCGGGGATGGTGGTGTAAGTAGAAAAAGTGGATTTACTTATTATCCTGCAGGAGTCGGGGGCAGAGGCTGGTGTCTGAGGAGGAGGAAGTTGAGGCAGGTTTAGTCTCTGAACTTGGGCTTCCTGAGTTGGGACCCCAGGTCTTTTCGTCCCAGAGCCCACGTGGGTGTCAGGGGGAATGCCCTGTATCCTAAGTATTCCCGTCAGCCCTTGTGGCCGTAGGTGGGCTGGGCCCTGCTAGTGACCATCATGGGATCCCCATCTGCCAGGTCTCAGGGTCCTTCCATGGGACCCCTCAGTTCCCTGGTCTACTGGGAACTCTCTGCTGGGCCGAGGACACTGACCTTGTTATCCATAAACTCAGCGTCCTGTAGAGGGGAGCTGACACTTCCAAGGGCATCCGGGTCCACCCAGGCCGGGGGGCAGGTGCCCTGGGTGTCCTGTCTGGGACAAGCACTAACTGTCCTTTGCCCAAATCCCAGGGAGGCATCATCAGACCTGGAGGAGTGATGGCCGCCAGAGCTCTGGCTTCTCCAAAGGGCTCAGGCCCTGCTGAGCAGCCCAGTCCATCCTCCCGGGGTTCTGCTCCTGGGGACGGTGGCACTGCACCTTGGGGTTTCAGGGAAAGGAGAGAAAGGCCCAGGCAGGTCCGGGTCACAGGTCAGGTTGGTCTAGCCTCGTTTCAGACACAGCGGAGCTGGCCCCCGCCCGCCGTGGACACAAGGCTGGGGTCGATGCTGCATTCCACGCTGGTCTAGCTGGGCCAGGCTGAACCCAGTTCCTCGGGCATGGGTGCACGCCCCTCAGGAACTGCTGATTGGCGGGTGGCCTCAGGTGGGTGGGCCCGGAAGGAGGTGGCCAGGCCATCGGGGGGCGGGTCCAGGAGACCTGGCTGCAGCAGGGCCTCGGAAGCAATGTCTGCGTACACCCCGACACCAGGATGGGCCCCCAACACCGCCCACCCCAGGCCTCTGGCTCCTCCTCCCTCTGGGTGGCGCCATCTCGCTGGGCTTCTGTGAACTTGGCCTGGCGGATGCTGTGGACACGGGTGGGAAAACGTGTCAGCCCGGGACTGTCCATCCCCCGTCTCCTCCGCCAGTACCCCCCATTGTCTGTGCCTGACGTGGTGGGGCCTGTGAGGGCTCTGGGGGAGACCCACAACTGGGAGAGGATCCCCCCACTCTGCTGTGTCAGAGCTGAGACACAGACCACCCTGGGGGCTCACCAGAGAGCGCCGCCTCGGGGACTGCCCCGCAGTGGAAGATAAACACAAGCTTCCCTCACACACGACAACAGCTCACATGTGATGACAGAGTCACCGGCGCTGAGAGTAAACGGCCTTTTTGAATAAAATAATTCTGAGAGACTCGAACAAATTCCCCGTGTCAGAAGACCCAGGCGCTTCCCTGTCTCGCTCCTAGGGGACTACTTGGTTTCCCTCCCTCCCCCTCCACCTGCCAGGCCCAGGAGGGCGCACAGTGGGTGGGGGCGACTTTCCCCAAACCGATCCCTGTGGACGGGGCTTGTCCTGGCTCTGATGATGGGGCCACCCCCATCCCCTCGGTGGGGCAGGGGAGGGGATGGGGCTGAGGGTGGACCCGGGTCCTGTCCTCACAGGTTTAAAAACTAAGGAAATCGCCTCTGACACACTCGGTGCACTAATGATCACTGAATGTGCTACAGGACGATGCCAATGAAGACAGTTAAAAAAAAAAAAAGTACGTGTCTCAGCTCTGGAGGAAGGTCCCTGAGGCGTCCCCACGAGCCCCGACCATGGAGTGAGAGGCCGGGACGCCCTCTGTCCCGCCATGGGGACACCCTCAGGACAGAGACTCGACACGGCAGCGGGAACTTCCCCCGCAGACTGCAGGTATCTGCCCCCAGCCGCTTGCAGGGGAGAATCCACTCACTCTTGGAAAATTTTAGATGTCAAGCTCCATGTTAGACTGGAGAACGCGCCACAGTTACACTATTCACTTTGTAAATCACGACAACTGATGCTGACGGGGCCCAAGTCGTCCTGTCCCGCTGCCCTGTCAGCCTGGGTGAGACTCGGTGAGAGAAAACATTGTTATTGGAGGATCTGCCACAAATTATGCCATTTTAATTTATTCCTTACATGGGAAGATTTCTACGATCAGCCTGACAATGTCTCATGACTGACCTTAGCGTTCCGTCAGTGTATGAAGTGTTACATCAAATCACAACAACGATGATCTTGTAACTACGATGAATTTCAAAATCCTTATTGCTAAAGTTCAATTTGTTACTCATTTTTGTTCCTAATATTATGACAGGTATGAAAGTAGAAAATCAATTTTCATTACAATATTTTTGACTCTTTTATGGCTCTGAAACTGAAGTGAGGGTGGCATGGACATCTGACTTTTATGGATATTCACTTGGGCTTTTCCCCAATTCCGCACTCAGGGATTGTTAGAGCGATTATAAATAGAGTCACAGCACTTACATCATTAGTATAATACGTCCTTTAAATCTCTTAAAAGATGTCTACAGATATGACCATGGGGTATCCTCATGTATTTTATTTTTGTTCTTATTAAACTATTTAGAATTATTTCCACTAATGTATTTCCATCAATTTATATCCTATATTCTCCATTAAAACCCGACCATCACCAGGACCGTCACCCCACAGAGGGGGGAGAGGATGAGATTGGGGAGGCGGAGAGAGGGCAGGGCTGCCCCGTGTCCAGGCGTCCCCACTCACGCACGGGCCCGGGGGGAGGAACAAACCCGCACCCGGGGGACCCGGGGCCCTGGGACCGGCAGGGACAGCCCCACGCACAGACCGTCCGGCTCAGCACCGGAGCGGCCTCCTCCCTGCACAGACGTGCCTGAGTCTGAGGGGGACAGAGGGGCCGGGAGGGACCCGGGGTGGACGAGCCCATCCTGTGGGAGGGACGTGTGGGGGTGACCCAGGAGGAGATTCTGCAGGACACACAGTTTATAATCATTAGAGATGGGAGGAAGGTCCTTTAATGGGAAATGACACCCCATCTCCCTTCACACCTGTCCCTGTGGGGCCTCCCCAGACCAGGGCTGTGCTGGAGGAGCAGGGACAGGCTCTCCAGGGTGGGGAGGGGCTGGGCATGGTCACGTGTCCTCTGGGGCTGTGCCCTGGACAACCTCTGGGAGGTGTGCTGGGCGGAGACACTGGGGCCTGGGCAGGAGGCAGTAGCCCAGGGGCTGGGGAAAAAAAGGGAGGGGCTGTCAGTCAGGTTCTTTGAGAGGCATGAGATTCTAATTTGTTCAAGTTTGTAGGGGAGAGTTGAAATTTTCTGCTCTTTACCAAATTTCAGAGAAGTTGCACAACTTAATGACACATGACGTGGAAATAAAAGGTTGAATACAGCAGGATACACAGACACACAGATGGGGATATTATTCTTCAGACACCTAGAAGGAGTAATTACCTGGTAAATAGATTGAATTATTATCCTTATAATCCAGTTTATGTTCAATATTGGAAGATTTGAATTTCTTCCTGTGTCCTTTTTCACACAGATGATGGCTCCAGGGGTGACGAATCTCACAACCGTGACTGAGTTTATTCTCCTGGGGTTCCCCACCCAGGGGACCATGGGCTTGTTGCACCCGCTGCTCTTCTCCCTGGTCTACCTGTGCGCCCTGCTGGGGAACGGGCTCATCGTCCTCATCACCACTCTGGACCGGCACCTCCACACCCCCATGTACTTCTTCCTGAGGAGTCTGTCCTTCTCGGACCTCTGCCTCATCACAGCCACGGTCCCCAAGTCCATCGCCAACTCTCTGAGGCACAGCAGCTCCATCTCCTTCCCGGGCTGCGTCCTCCAGGTCTTCATGATGGTTATTTCTGTTGGTACAGAGATGCACCTGCTCACGGTGATGAGCTTGACCGCTATGCTGCCATCTGCCACCCCCTGCACTATGAAGTCATCATGAGCAGGGACAGGTGTGTGCAGCTGACAGCTATGGTCTTGCTGGATGGCTGTCTTTTGGCTGTGATGAACACAGCTGGAACCTTCTCCTTGTCCTTCTGTGGGTCCAACGTGGTCCACTAGTTCTTCTGTGACATCCCCCAGTTTATGGCTATTTCCTGCTCAGAAAATCTGATGAATGAACTTGTCCCCATTCTCATTAGTGTGGTGTGGAGTGATTTCTATGTTATTTTCATCATCATTTCCTACGTCCACATCTTCTCTGCTGTCAGGAAGATCCCATCCACAGAAGGGAAGGCCAAGGCCTACTCCACCTGCCTTCCCCACCTGCTGGTTGTGGTGCTGTTTCTCTCCACTGCATGCTTTGCTTATCTGAAGCCGACCTCAGGGACCCCGTCCATGTCTGACCTGGCCATTTCTATGTTCTACACGGTGGTGCCTCCCATATTTAATCCCGTCATCTACAGTCTGAGGAACCAAGCCATGAAGTCGGCTGTGGGGAGACTGATGAAGGGCCAATTGTCCATCAAGTGAGATATCACAATCCCCATTATAATCCTCATTTAATCAGTTTTCCCCTCTACCGTCTTACATGTCCTCATTTACAAATAGACTTTTCTCTTGCTTTTCTTGTCAGAAATTTATATTCTCATATTGTTCCTTAGAGTCTAGTTCTGTATATTAATGCAGACTTTTGGAAAACCCTTCCCCATGTGAAGCTCATAACTGAATTCTAGGTCATGTTAAAAACAATGTGATGACATTTGCAAGAAGTCACCCATTTCTGACTCAGAAGAAGTCAGAACTCAGAGGTCACCAACAGTTACTAACAATGACAAGATGCAAGTTCTTTTCTCCCGGGGGCACCGGTCACTTTTCTCCTGGGAGCACTGCGGTCCTGGGCACTCGGTTCCCACAGCCTGTGTGTGTCTCCACTGAGGCCTGTCTTTGTGG